ATTTTGTCCTGATCAGCCTGTTCTTAGAATGACAGTAAAGGATGGCTTTGTGTGCTGGCTTAGGTTGAGGGTGAGTCAAATATCACAGGCTTGGAGGAAAGAGGGAAACTTAAGGAAGGTTGGCTAAATGAGTGTTCTGTTTCCACTGATCACTTCAGCCACTCAGTTTTGAGGTTAAAAAGTGGAATCTGGGGAAGTATGTGTCTGGTCTTGTAGTAAATAAAAAGAAAAGAAAAGAAAAAAACAGACATTGTCTAAGTGTAGTAGGGAGTGTGTTTGTGGGAAGTAGAATACTTTCCCAGATCACAAAGCATTGGGTGTAGGAGTTCTTTAACCAGCTATTAATCAGGGTTATGTTGCTTAGGTAAAACTCACCGTTTTCAGATGTTTGTTTTTTGTCCACAGTGTTGGTCTAGTGTCGGCATGTTATTTGTGCCAATTGAAAAATATTATGAGGTGTAGTCTGAAAGACATCTGTGAGTTCTGTCTGCTGGAGAAAAGGGTCTCTGGGCCAGGCGTGTTGGCGCCCGCCTGTAATCCCAGCACTCGGGAGGCTGAGGCAGGAGAATCGCTGTGAGTTCGAGACCAGCCTGGGCTACATAGTGAGTACCAGGTCAGTCTCAACTGTACAGTGAGACCCTGTCTCAAAAAACTAAACAAAAAAAAAAAAAAAGAAAGAAAGAAAAGGGTCTATGAACTTGAGGCTTTCTTTGGGTATACAGTACAAAAAATTTGCCTTTTGTCTCAGTTTCTGGCAGAGATCCCCAAGCCCTTAGACTTTCCTAAGAAATAGGGATGTCTTTGGTTGTGTATCACAAACTCCTTTCATGCAATATCTAAATTTATGCTAATGAGGTATAAGGATGCCACCCTTTTATAAGTGCAGGAAAGGGTCTGGTCACCAGACAGAGCAAATATGTACTTTGGAGTGACATCGGCAGTGGTGCCAGTGTGGTGGGACCAAGCCCTGAAGTTAGTTTTCAGGGCTGCGCTAGGTCTGAGTGGTGTCAGATTTGAATTATGGGACACACATTTGGTATTAGGGGATTTTGTTGGAATTCAGAAAACAACACACATTTGGCGTGAGAAGGGATTTCAGAAAAAAAGTACCACAGGCCAGAACTTCAGCTGACTCTGGGTGAGTGGTCACTGGTCACAGTTGAGGTTATGGAGCAGGGAGCTTTTTCAAGCACCAAGGAGGGGAAGGCACGCATAGAAGTCTCAGAATAAAATTTCCTGGCTGTTCCTGTTTAGCTCACTCACTCCCTAGGTGGAGCCAACCTGGGCTGCATGTGCAGATGGTCTCTAAGTTTAGGATTGTGTTTTAACTTCTGAGTGTGGCCTGTTCCCCTTTGACCTGTAGGTGAAGCCATTTATTTACCTGAGGTCTATCCCTTTTGTGTGCTTTATACTATCTTGGTTTTCTAAAATACCAGCTCACTTCAACATTTCAAGCGTTTTCTTTCCTGAGTGTATGATTGTAATTTTCTCGCTTGGAACCTGAGAGGCTGGAATGATGAGGCATGAAGAAATAAAAGGAATTCTTGACATAAATTGTGCCATAAAAAGTTTAAGTAAGAGTATAATAAGAGTATAAACATCCATGGAATCGCCAGGCAAGTGAACGTGTAGGCCATGGTCACTTCCCATGTGTCTCCTTGATTTCGTCTAGCTATGTACCCAGAAGTGACTATGGGATGGATTTGGGGGGGGACATTCTTTATGGCTTCCCATGTGTTTACCACTAAGCAGAGTTTTAATTGCTTTGCCTCATTTGCATTTTGAATGAGTGAATTCTGCTATTCACGTATCTCAGTATTACGCTGAAAAGGTTTTGTGTGGTTGCTTGCTTTAGTCTGTTCATATATGATGGTAGGTAAGGCTGTTTATAGTGCAGCTAGGTCACTCACTGATTCTGTTGCTTGTGAGATTTGGATTGATTCAAGTTTGTCTTTTGGTAGTGTTGACCGTATTTTTCTTGAGTTTGTCCCCAAGTTCTACTGCATCATAAATTTTTTTTTTTTTTTTTTTTTTTTTTGATACTGGGGATTGAACTCTGGTCCTTGTGCTTGCAAAGCAGGTGGTGGAACTACTGAGCTAAATCCCTAGCCCAAGGTTCTAGTCATCATAAATTTTTTTTACAGAGTGGGAAAAAAGACCTGATTACTGATTGTGTATAAATTCAAATTTATTAAGGAAGTTTGACAGTTTATGAATATATCACCTGACTCTTCATGGATTATGTTTATTGTGTAATTTGCTAATGCTTAGAATATCTAATTTATTTGTTTTGTGCATGTAGAATTAAGCTGCATCTCTGTATGATTCTGTCTTGCTTTTAATTATTACCTCTGGCATGAGTATTTTTGGTATGTGGTCTTTCATGTTGTGTGAAATTTGTTTCTATCTTATCTGTCTCCCTGTATTTTATAAATGATACTGTATTTTTTAATTTCAAATCCAGTGTTTGTAGTTAATATGTAGCAAATTATGGGTATTTGGGTATTTGAACTATTGTTGTACAACTTCAGTTCTCTCAGTTGAATTTTGTGTGTGTGAGTGTGTGTGTGTGTGTGTGTGTGTGTGTACCTAACTCAGGACCTTGCTCTTGCCAGGCAGGCACTGTGCCACTAAGCTAAATCCCCGGCCCTGTTCTCTCAGTTCTAAAAATTGTTGAGTTAATTTCTTTTATTTTTCCAGTACTGGGGATTGAACCTAGAACTAAACACATGCTAGGCAAGAACTCTGCCACTGAGCTATTTCTCCAGCCCTTTTTAATTTTGGTTTTTGAGATAAGGTCTTGTTGAGTTGCCCAGGTTGGTCTTCAACTTGGACTCCTACCTCAGCCACCTGAGTAGCTGTGATTACAGATAGGCACTATTGTGCCTGACTTTAATTTTTTAGTGTTTTGCTTTTTTCTTGTATGAACAGGAATGTCTCCACCTATGTATCTCTGTGATAGACTAGAAAGTGGAAGACTGTCACTCCTTTTTTGATATTCAGTGATAATAATTATCTTCAAACACTCCCTCAACCCCTGTGTTTCAAGATAAGCTGATGAAAAGCTTAGACTCCTCATCTTTTCTAGTGTTCCAGTGTTTGAGCTTTTCCAGGTTATATTTCACTGCTGTGAAAATAGTGCACATGTCTCCAGGCCCAGGGCAGTCTCTTGGCGTTAGAGAATGACTGGTCTGTAGATTGCAGTGAAGTTCAAACTCTAGAAAATTACACTGGAGTATATTATTTTATTTTCCATTCATGTGTAACTGCTTACTTGCTATGGTCTTCAACACTTACATTTTATTTGGCTGTTTCCTTAACCAAGGTCATGAATCTTTTCTTGTATAGTACATGGTGTTTTATCTTGAATTAGATATGTTTTGGTCATTTTTCAGTCATATGTTCATTATTCCTCTGCACACAGTAACCCTTTTTTAATTTTGTGGTTTTGGGAATTGAACCCAGGAGCTACTCAACCACTACCCCAAAGACCTACCCCCTTTTTAAAAAAGTTTGTGACAAGAGGGCCAGGGATTTAGCTCAGTGGTTCTACTGCCTGCCTAGCAAGCACAAGGACCCAAGTTTGATCCCTGGTACCAAAAAGAAAAAAAAAAAGTTTGAGACAAGGTTTCACTGAGTTTCCTGGACTGGCCTTGAACTTGTGATCCTTCTTCCTCAGCCCCTGGAGTGGCTGGGATCATAGGCATGTGCCACTGCCACTGTGTTTGACTGTCATCCTTTTATATTACATGTATGGCAGATGTTTGTTTCCTACTTTGTTGTCTTTCACCTTTCTTCATTTTCAGATTTGATTTTCTTTGTCCTTTTCATAGGACTTGCTTTTTTTTTTTCTTTTTTTTTTTTTTTTTTTTTTTTTTTTTTTTTTTAAGGAGTAAACTGTTCTTACATCCGAAAAACATTTCACTGGTTGCTCAAAGCATTCAAGTTCTATCTTGTTATAATGTACTGTATAATGTGATTATTCTCCATGGAATACGTTTCCAATAAATGGCACTATATTCCTGTCTCGTGTATTAAAGAGATTGCGATTTCTGCCACTCTTGTGCAATGCCTGCCCTATCATGGATCAATTTTCTTTTTACTTTATTAACCCTTTAAAGACTGTCTTCTTTCAGCGAGATATGATAATGTCTCTGTTACTGGTATAGTGTGCTGAAGTGTAGCTTCAAAGTATTTTTTGTGTATTAGGCAAGCTATCACTTTCTTGTGCTAAAAGTCTTAATGTTGTTAGACATTTATTATATCCACAAGTTTGGTTAAATTAAAATAGTTTGTGTTGACTAGCCAAAAATGTGTTCTGGGAGTAATAGAATTTTACACATTTGTGTGAGAGAGGTAACACAGAGGGTGATTTGTTTTTCTCCCTTGTAGTACTGGGGATTTGAACGCAGGGCTTTGGCACTGAGCTTCATCCCAGTGGTCATCCTCCCCACCCCTCATTTTTAAACAATTTTTGGGGGATAGGGTTACACTGGACTGCTAAGTTGCCCAGACTGTGCTTGAACATACAGTTCTTCTGCCTGGGCCTCCCAAAGTGCTGGGGTTATAGGAATATGCCACAGCACCCATACCATCCTTGCCCTTATTTCATTGTCTTTTGATATTCAGTAAAAACTGTAGTTTTTTTTCCCCCCATTAGCAGATAATGACTCTGTTACTCTATTAGCAGAGTGAATTATCATTTCAGATTGTTATTCAGTCTTTTCATAAGGTTGGGGGATAACAGGAGTAAAACAAAGAGCATATTGTTGGCATGAACTATTTGGGAACATCAGGTCCTTCTTTACAGTTAATCTAGTGAGATCCATCTCAGTAGCAATTCCCAAATACTGTCAAAGTTGAACCTTGTTCTCAAGCATTTCTAAGAATATACAGTCTCAGAAGACTGGTATTAATTCTCTTGTGGCACTAAGTAGGAATTTTTTTTTTTTTTTTTTTTTTTTTTTTTTTTTTTTTTTGGTACCAGGGATCAAACTCGGGTCCTTATGCTTGCGAGGCAGGTACCGCAACCACTGAGCTAAATCCCCGGCCCATTAAGTAGGAGTTTGTTCTGAGAAGTGCTACAGATTCAGTATATACAAAAAAACCGGGTGACTCAGCAGCATAGTGATACTCTTGTTCTATTAATGCTTTACCAAAAAATTCCAATCTAGTATCAGAATTGCTGTGTGAGAGGACGTGAGTATAGCTAGAGAGTAAGGGTGGGATGACCAAGACATGGAGTGAACATTTGGAGAACACAGCATCATGTGAAATTGTGAAGTGAGTCTTTATCTCCGGTGTCACATTTCCTCGCGGAAACATGTATGGCATTTTAGGAGTCAGTGACCTTTGAGGATGTGGCTGTGAACTTCACCGTGGAGGAGTGGGCGTTGCTGGATCCTTCCCAAAAGAAGCTTTATAGACATGTGATGCAGGAAACCTTCAGGAACCTGGCTGCTGTAGGTAAGGATGACATCATTCTTTTATTTAGTCAGAGAACAAATGTTTCTTGTTTATCTGTAGTGTTCCATGATTTGGAATAGGAAAAGGGAATATTTTAGTGACTACTAGGCATGGTCACATTATACCTGAACCTAACCCAGAGTCTATAAAATTTTTTCTATAATATAATAATTCATAATGATTTTCTGGTCTCCATTTTAGAAAGAAAACAGGAAGACCAAACCATTGAAGATGACTACAGAGATTCCAGGAGAAATCTAAGGTAATTTGCACTGATGAGAGAAAGCAATGTTCCACAGGAATCTTGGTACGACAGTAACTTTTAAAAACATATAAATGAGCTGGGGGATTAGCTCAGTGGTACTGCCACCTGCTCATAAGTGCAAGGTCCCAAGTTCGGTTCCCAGTACCAAAAAACTCAAAAAAGCATAGGAATGATACAAACAAGCTCAAATTCAAATTGATTCAGTCTTAGAAATTTTTCTCTACATCTGCATGCAGGTTCCATATTTGGAAAATCTAAAATCTGAAATGTTCCAATATTACACATACCTGGATCACTGAGATGACACCATAGGTGACATTGTCAGATGATTCAGTATACACAAACATTCCATGAATGCAATTATTAAAAATGTATGAAATTACCTTCAGGGTTAAAGTTTAAAATACTTAAACTTTAAGTATTTAAACAAAAATGAATTTTATGTTTAGATTGGACCCATCTTCAGTGTATATGCAGATACATTTCACAATTCAAAACAGATTTGGCCCCAGCCATTTTGTCTAAGGAGTACTCAACTGTATTCAAATGTGATATAAACAAACATTCAGTGTACCGAAATTGTTAATTGGAAGCAGTATTAAGAAATCTTATATGGGGCCAGGGATTCAGCTCAGTGGTGCTATGCCTACCTTGAAAATGCAAGGTCCTGATTTCAATCCCTAGTACCGAAAAAGAAAATAAATCATATGACTACTATTATTTGGATAGTAGCTGTGCTTCAGCCAAGTGGAAGAGTATTCAGACAGTTCATGTTCCTAAATTCTTACAGGGCATAAAATTAGCACTTCTACTGATAAATCATGAATAAACAATGTCTTAGTAATAAGTTTCTTCTTCTTCTTTTTTTTTAAATCAGAAGTCAAGTGGTAGAGAGATTCTACCAACATAAACAAGGTAGTGAATGTGGAGCAATCTTTAGCGGGTCTACAGATCCTATTGTAAACAAGAAGACTCCTCCTAGAGTAAAACTAGAGGAAAGCAGTGTGTGTATAGATATCCTCATTGGTCATTCCTCCCTAAATGCACTCCACCAAGCTCATACCAGACGAAGAGCATGTGAGTATCAGGAATATAAAGAGAAGACATATAAATGTGAGGAATATCGGAAAGGCTTCAGTTGTCCCCAGTACTTTCAGAAGCATGGAAGGACGTACAGTGGAGAGAAACCTTATGAATGTAAGCAGTGTGGGAAAACCTTCAGTTCCAGTTACATTCAAATACATAAAAGACTTCACAGTGGAGAGAAACCCTATGAATGCAAGCAATGTGGGAAAGCCTTTATTTGTTCCAGTTCTGTTCGAAAACATGAAAGGACTCACACTGGAGAGAAACCCTATGTATGTAGGCAATGTGGTAAAAGCTTTAGGGATTATAGTTCCATTCGAAAACATGAAAAAATTCACAGTGGAGAAAAACCGTATGGGTGTAAGATATGTGGGAAAGCATTCTTTTCTTTGAGTAACTTTCGAACGCATGAACGAACTCACAGTGGAGAGAAACCCTATGGATGTAAGCAGTGTGGGAAAGCCTTCCGTTCTTTGAGTAATGTTCGAAGACATGAACAAACTCATAGTGGAGAAAAACCTTATGTATGTAAGCAATGTGGGAAAGCCTTCTGTGTTCCCAATTCCTTCAAAAAACATGAAAAAACTCACACAACAAAGAAGGCCTATGTGTGTAAGCAATGTGGGAAAGCTTTCTCTGATTACAGTTCCTTTCTAAGACATGACAGAATTCACACTGGAGAGAAGCCATTTGTATGTAAGCAATGTGGGAAAGCCTTTAGTTCTTCCAGTTACATTCAAATACATGAAAGAACTCACACTGGAGAGAAACCCTTTGTATGTAAGCAGTGTGGGAAAGCCTTTAGTTCTTCCAGTTACGTTCAGATACATAAACGGACTCACACTGGAGAGAAACCCTGTGTATGCAAGCAGTGTGGGAAAGCCTACTATGATCCTAGTTCCCTCAGAAAACATGAAAGGATTCACAGTGGAGAGAAACCCTATGTGTGTAAGCAGTGTGGGAAAGCTTTTAGTTCCTCTAGTTACATTCAGATACATCAACGGACTCATACTGGAGAGAAACCTTATGCATGTAAACAATGTGGGAAAGCTTTCAGTCAATCCAGTTCCTTTCACAAACACGAAAGAATTCACACTGGAGAGTAATCCTAACTGTAGAATGTGGGAAGATCCATTGTCACCAACCATTTAGCAAAATGGGGAGGCCTAATGGAAAGAACTATACCAATATAAAGGTTGTTGTTGGAGTGTGTCCAATCTCAGTTCAATTCACAAATATTAAAAAAAATATATGCAAGGAAGCCTTGAATAGATGTACAGAAGTCCTCAGCTGACCCATAGATAAGAATACGCATTGGATCAATACCTTGTAAATATGGACTATAAGACAGTTGTCTGTTGTTAACAGGTAGTTTCCAGGTCCTGTCAGAATTCTCATAGTGGAATCTCCAATGTGTAAAGAATATGAAGAGTCTGATGCAAAGTAATTTGTGGAGAATGCTCCTAAAAATTCACAACCTGAAGGAAATGATCTAAAAGTTATAAGTTTATTATGTTTATTGTTGGTTCATTCTTGGAGTAGGTCTCTGAACTGTGCGGTTCTCATTTTTACTCTTGAAAATGTTCAGGTGCTGTGAGTTTTAAGTTTTTGTTTAAGCAATAATGTTAAGTGGTGTCTTTTAAAACAAATCAGGTAGTACATTCTTTTCCCTTTTAAGATATATATGTATATTCAATGCCCCTCAGGCTAGGCTTCAACTCACTGTGTAGCCCAGATTGGCCTTGGACTCCTGGCTATCCTCCTGCCTCCCAGCCTCCTGAGTGCGGGGATTACAGGCATGTGCTACTGCGCCAGGGTTTATATATGCTCCATTTCTGTACACACGCAAACACGGACTTTCTTTTTTGGCACAAAAATGATATTTTTATATCTTTTATTTCTTGGTATATATTTTCTGAAAACAAGATTTCTATATTGTTTGAGAGTTTTATTAATTACCAAACAACTTTCACAGTAACAAATGTTACTGTTTTTCATTTACTGAAAATTTATCTCTATGCCACTATAAATCTGTATTAGATCAACTGATGTTTGCCAAGTTTTTCCTTTGATACTGAATAGTATTATCATACAACAAAGTACTTTTCCCTTCATGTAAATTGTACTCTTCACTATTATATTGCTAAAATTTTATTTTGATCAAAGTTGGATCTTCACTTATCCTACAAAGGATAAATCATGCTAATATAAGTGCTCTGTTGCCAGAGGCTACCAGGACCATATCTTTTATCACAAAGGATGTAATGGATTGTACAAATAAGTTTGTGCACACACTATAAATGACTGTTTGGTTCATTAATAAAGGCATTGACCATAGAATTTCTAACAGGATTGGTGTTTGTTTAAGGGGGTTCATTGCTTTTCAGTGTAATGATGTATCTCCTTTATTAAATGCACTGAGGGAGTGAATGTAATTCTATCTGTGGTAAGCATCATCATTCTTACCTCAAAGGCTGAAGTTATGAATGAAGGGAAACTTTATTCATGAAAAGTACCAATCAGACTAGTTACAAAGGGATTTGGCTCTTTTTGGGGAAGGAGGGTTCAGATATATTCTATCTTACCAATTTTAGAGACATATTTATAAGATGTCTGTTTTTGCCTTCATCCATCCTACTCACTAGGAAGCATTATCTGCTGACAGGTGTGAGACATGTCTGTGCTGTGAATGTGAGAACAACTCCAGTCTTCTAGACCACTTTTTGCCTTTATGGTTTATTAGGTAATCTCTGAAATATTTCCTGTTATGCATTGCACACTGTTCTCTGTAAATACAGACACTCCTCAGCTTTGTAACTATAAACCCATAGTAATGTAAAAATATCACAAATTGAAAATGCACTTGAAGTCATCAGCACGGACCCCTCCTCAACCCAGATGAAAACAACACAGATTCCATCTCAACCCAGAAAGATGGCTGCTATCAAGAAATCAACCGGGCCAGGGATTTAGCTCAGTGGTTCGGTGGCCTGCCTTGCAAGCACAAGGACCCAAGTTCAATCCCCAGTACCAAAAGGAAAAAAAAAAAAGAAAGAAAAGAAAGAAAGAAAAATAGAAATCAACCAGGGCCAGGGCCAGGGATTTATCTCAGTGGTTCCAGCACTTGCCTCACAAGTGCAAGGACTTGAGTTTGATCCATATACCAAAAAAAGAAAGAAAAGAAAAGAAATCAACCAATAGCAAATGCTGGCAGGGTTGTGGGGAGATAGGAACCCTTCTTCATTGTTAGTGGGAGTGCAGATTGATACAATCACTGTGGAAATCAATATAGAGATACCTCAAACAACTATGACTAGAGGTTACATTTGACCCAGCTATTCCTCTGCTGGGTTTCTTTTTAATAACATGGAGTACTATTCAGCCATAAAGAACAAAAACCTAGAGATATTTACAGCTAAGTGGGTGCACATTGAGTCCATACTCTTAAGCGAAGTTAATAAATCACACGTGTAAATACCAAATAGTTTCTCTAGTGTGAAAAAGTGTTAAGGATAAAAATGTATAATTGATACTGTGTAATGGGAAGAAAAGGTCTAAAAGAGTTAGAGGAAGTAGGAGGGGTAGGGGAAAGGTAAAAAGGGAAAAGAAAAAAATGTGAAAAGGAAAAACATGGAAACAATGTCTTTGTAAACAGGGAAAGGGTGGAAGGGCTGAAGCAAGGGTTGGGGATGGGGAAAAACAAAAACCAAGATAAGTCATGTAAAGGTACAAGATCCCAATGATGAGTGTAACTATTGTATACCTAAAATGTACCGATAAACTCAATGATGATAAAAAACTACAATAAAGGGCTGGGGATTTAGCTCAGTAGTTCTACCACCTGCCTCACAAGCACAAGATCCCCAGTACAATCCCCAGTACTAATAAATAAATAATAAATTTAAGGGCCGGATTTAGCTCAGCGGTTCGGTGGCCTGCCTTGCAAGTGCAAGGACCCGAGTTCAATCCCCGGTACCAAAATATTAAAAAAAAATTTTTTTAAATAATTAATTGAATTTTAAAAAGAAAATGCACTTAATATACTTAGGCTACCGAACAGCAAAGCTGAGCCCCGCCTACCTGGAACATGCTTGATCACTTACATTTTCCTACCATTTACTCTATAATACAATGTTGAACAGCTCATTTAATGTATTGATTATAGTGCAATGTAGAGTTATCAGTTTTTATGCTCCTGAAGATAGGTGTCCATGTGCGGCAGCTCACTGCTGCTGCTTAGCATCATTAAAATGTATATCGCAGGCTGAGGATGTAGCTCAGTGGCACCACACCTACCTGGCAAGTGCAAAGTCCCGAGTTTGATCCCTAGTACCAGAAAAAATGTATACTGCATATTGCCACCCTGGGTTGACATCATACTTTGAAAATCAAGCACATTTTCCCAGCACATTTGTGTTCCCAGGTTAATGTTAGAAAATTGCAAGTCAAGCCATCCTAAGACTGTGTGATGGTTAATCCTGTTTATCACCTTGATTTGTGTAAGAGATGTGTAAGATACTAGCAGAGCCCCTTTCTGGATATGTCTAGGTGGGTTATGGAAGTGTGACTTTCAGGACTTTATGTGGTCCCCAACCCCTTTCTCCCTAGCTCTTCCCCTGTCCTCTGCTTCCTGGATACCATGAGTTGAGCATCTTTCCTCTACCACACCCTTCTGCTGTAGTTGTCGTGGGGCCAGGCGACCGTGGACTGAAACTCTGAACCAAAATAGAACCTCTCCTCCTTTAAGTATTTTGAGGCATTTTGTCCTATCAGTGGGACCCATAGAGTTGGTGACTGTCCTTATCTTTGTTAAAATATCTAAATTCATTTACTCTTTAACATGCTTATGATACTGTAAGTCTCTTTGAGTCTAAGGAGAGTAGTGTATTTAGGTAAACTATTATAGTACAGACTTCTGAAAGGATAGAGACACCATAATTTTTGCAGTCACTTTTGTTGCTCAGAAGATACTCTTTGGGTAGTAATTTTTAAAATTAGTTCATTCATATAAAAACAGGGTTTTTAACTATGTAGCCCAGGATGATCTTGAACTCACTATGTTGCCCATGACGGCCTTGAACTGGTGGTAATCCTCCTGCCTTGGCCTTCCAAGTGGCTAGGATTTGCCATAATGTGGGAAGTTCTTATTGTCTCTTAGTAAGGTTACCTGGAAACATTGTGTTCAGAGATTCACAAATCCCAATGTCAGTAGGTTTCATTTCTGTTTGCTTCAACTTCTGCATAAGTTATGGAAGAAAGATGAAACACTTTAGCTTTATTAAAGAACAAAGGAAGGCCCACTGTACTTGCATTTTTAAAATTTATTTGATTCCTTTATATTTGGTATTATGTGATTTCATAATTGTTAGTATCTCCTTTGATCTTTTTTCTCCTCCCAGATTTTTCATTTTATGTTTCAAAGAAAATTAAGCATAGGGAGCACAGGGCTTCACAAAATAATCACATACTTCTCAGTGTTATATCCTTGTATGTCTGCAAGCGTTCTTGGCACCAAAACAAATATCAGTCGCGGGAGCACACTGTTAAGTTTTGTGATTTATAAATATGACATCAATTAGCTTTTAATATCACTATCAGTATTAGGTGACTTCAGGGTATAAATACCAAGATAATGATAGTCTGGGTATATACCAAAAAACCCTTAATTTTAGAGATGAGAAAGTTTACATGTGCATGCTTTCATTTAGTGTTTTGATTAAGCAACTCAAAAAAGCAATGAGAAATTCTACTTGGGATAAAGGAATTTGTGTTGAAAATATGATTTATTCAAGAATAAAACATTTAACTTATTCCTGTGTCACCAAATTTATACTCAGTTCACTTGTGGTAGTGCACACTTACTAAAATTTAGCTGCATGTGTGTGCACAACTCCAATCCTAGACCCTTAGGATGCAGTGTTATGGAAGGAATTGGCAAGTGACACAGAGGCAGCAGAATGGAAGTAAAATAAAAAAGTTTACTCACTGACCATGGGTCAATCGCACATATGCTGTGCCAGGATCGATGACGCACTGGGTTACAACTCCTTCTTTTACAGGGTTTTACAGCCTTGATCTCATTGAGGTGGTTACTGTAAGACCTAAAGTCTCACTTCCACTCCACGGAGCATGAACAGCTGAAAGGCCTGAGTCCTATATAGCCCAACGATGGCTCCGGAAGCAAGACCCAGGGCCTAACTTCTGAAAGTTGTGAATAGCCAACAGGGCCTCCACGATGCTTGGCCCTATAGCTCAGCGAGGCTCTGGGAGCTTGATGAGAGTCACCCAGGAAGGAACACACCAGGCTAGATGGTAAACAGACCTTTATTAGTCTGGCCAGATGGCACTCCCGGAGCCAGGT